CAACTTTCACATCATCATCTCAACATGATCTATATAGTAGTAATAATAGTAATTTTTATTGGTGGATTATCATCATGAAATTGGAATTTATTTTTCATGATGGAAAATCACAATTTGGTGTTCCATCATCGGATCATTCACCAACCATCATCATTATTGTTTTCCATCAATATAATAATAGTATTTGTGGAAATTAATTGTTAGTAATGTAATTTTGGAGAAATGTCAAAATTTTCACTAAATTCATCATCACTGCTGGATCTACTGGACAAGTTGGAAAACTGTGAATGTAGTATCGTTCGGAATGGTCAATAGTAGGTAGGAGAATTTTCTCTTATCAATTTTGGTCAAGTTATGATAGGGATAGGTACATTGTGATTTTGAAAAAGTACATGCACCATTAACTCAACATGTACTTCACCAACTTGAATCATGTCTTTTAGTACTACTATTTAAATAGATAATAAACATCATATTTATTATCAGATTTTCATCATGTTGTCAATTTACCAAGTTCCGATATTTGATGCTGCCAGAGTTGATTCATGGCCCAATTACAAATCAAACAATAATAATAAAACAATTCATAATGTTTATTATGTTATTAAATGTATAATTTCGAGTCTTGTAGCATAATTTGTGAAAATCATGGATATCTGATATTTTCATGTTTTTATTGTTTTTCTCATGATGTGGATATTGTCTTCTCACTGAAACATCACGAACAGCATGTCATTCATCCATTCTCTACCAGATAATTATATTTTCCAGTAATTTTCACTATTATTGGATATTTTACTTTTAATATTTGTGATACTATACTATTATATTCAATGAATAAGGGATGAGAAACATTCATTAGAAGTAGATATTTTCCACTGATATATTCTCTCTGTATTCAACATCTGTTAAATTAATTGAGATAGAAGGTATTTCATCAGCTCATATCAAATAGCTGGAGTTGTACTAGCTTGAAAAAGAAGTCTGGAAATGACACGATTGTGCATTGTAAAGAAATTAGTAATTGATTGTTTTGATGAATTTCTTTTATTATTATTTCTTCAAAATTATAATAGAGGTGTTCAATTTAGATTTTTTACAGATCTAGTGCTGTGTTGTAAAGAGAAAATGTTCCAATGTCAAGTAACAGCTTAATAATTCCAAAAAGAATCAAAAAATCACAGTGAATTACAGTAAATTCTGGTTTACAATACTATCAAAACTGTAGTGCAACCGTGACTGCATACTTGTTGTTTCGTAATAATAGTACATAATACTCTTCTAATTAGAAGCTCTGTTGCAGTAACAAAACATTGTTTAACAAGATAAGCCACATGAAATTCATATCCTTCTAAATAAATTTAATAATGTTGATGCCGAATTCAAATTACTTGCATAACTAGGTGGTAGTCATCATTATTAATACCATGAACACAATCTCATCATCGGAAAGCACCCACACAATCACTTCAATTTTTCCTCTATCAAAATTCACCATCACTTTCATTCAATAATGCACTTCCATCACTGATAAACAAAATATTTTTCGGTATTTACCTTCCTCTTCTATGAAATAATTCCAAAACTCTTCATATTTGATGAGAGAGAAGTGAAAGACAATTTTTTGGTATTATTATCATCACAGTAAAAAAAACCTCTAATTTATTTGCCTCCAATTTTCAGTTAGGTACGTTACATAATTACAGCTGCCTTTTCTTACCCTCAACCTCTTCATCACAACAATATCAATTTGATGATCTGCTTTCTTCTACTACTGCGTTGATCATATTTCTCTTCTAACTACGGAATGCGCTTCTGATCTGGATGTCATCTTTACTATTAATTTGATAATGACCATGGACTTATCCAATATTCATGTTTGGGATATAATTCTTATTTGGATTAAAACTTTATATATAATGATGATGATGATGATGATGAAACACAGATCACACAAGGATAATGAAATTGATCATTGGATTGGTATTGATTGCAACTATTTGCAGTGTAGGTACTTTGGCTGCTAATGCTCCAGTTGCTTTCCATACTGCCACAACTTTTACCACTACTTCCCTGACTCAATCTGCTCTGGTTGCTTCGTCTGGAGTTTCTGATCCAAATTTTGCTCCATATGCTGCTTTTGATCCTTTCGAATATAATGCCTTCAACTTTACATCCACTAGATGTACTGTTCCTTCAACTAGTGTTTTGAATGCCTTCAAGATTTCTCTTCAAAAGGTCTTGTTATCATTCAGTGCTTCTGAAAAGGCTGACAATTTTATCATTTCGTCCTTGTTGGGTGGAAATGGTCAAGAAGCTACTTTGAGAAAGTATGCTGAAGATTATGGACACATAGTTCACAATACTCCAATGGTGGTTGTTGTTCCAAGCACAACTGCATTAGTTGCCAAGTTGGTCAAGGCTGTCAAGTCTGTACCTTGTAATAGTCAATTTGCTCCTGTCAAGATTGTTATTAGAGGTGCAGGAGGTAATGTTGAAGGTGGTTCACAAATTGTTGATGTTGCCACTTTGATTTCCAAGCAAGAATTGGATGATGATAATACTATTCCACCATTGCAAATTCTCTTGGATTTGGGATCTAGATTGAACTCTGTTGCTACTCAAGCTACTACTGTTGGAAGTCAAAAGTCATTGTGGGCTTCAGCTGGTGCCACTTGGCTTGCTTTTACTCGTGCTGCTGCAACTCTTGGATTGAGACCTTATGTTGCTCCTGACTATTTTGGAATTACATTGGGTGGATCATTGTCAATTGGAGGTGTTGGAGGTGACTCTGCTTTCAGAGGTCTCTGTGCTCACCACGTTGCTGAATTGGAAGTTGTTAATAGTGATGGAGATGTTCTTACTGTTACTCCAACCTCCAATTTGTTCAAATCTGTTTTGGGAGGTATGGGTCAATTTGGTATCATGACTCGTGTTCGTATTAATTTGGAACCTAATCATCCATTCACTCGTATTTACCACTATGTCTCAACTGATATTAATGTATTGTTGAGAGCTGTTGACAAGATTCAACAAGTCAACCAAGGAAGTGTCCATGTTAATACTGTCCAAACCTTTATCGTTCCAGGAACTTTAGATTTTATCATTAATTGGGTTTTGAATGGACGTACCACTTACCGTTCACCAGAAGAAGAAGCTCAAGTTAATGCTTTGGTTTCTCAAGGATTGACTTACATTTATTTATTGGAAATGACCAAGAGATTTGATAGTACTGCTGAAAGCCTTGAACAAATTGCTGCCTTATGTGATGAAACATTTGATTTGGCTGTTGTTGATGATATGCCAACCAATATTTGGGATGAAAGATTGTACTATTTCAGTTTACCAGCTTTAATTCAAACTGGTGCTTGGACACAACGTCATCCATGGCTTAATATTTATTTGGCAGGTGATGTTTTTGTTAGAGACGAAACTGGAAAGAGTGATTTTGACAGACTTATTGATAGATTCACACCACTCAAATCAACTGGTTTTGGACACATCGGTCTTTATCCAATTTTAACATCACCTCTCTTTACATCAGCCTCATTGCCATTCCTTTCAGTTCCAACCACTTCAAAGTGGAGTTATTTGATGGTTGTCGGTAGAGATGATGCATTTGGAACTGATGCTGGATTGAATTATCAAGCTTTTGACAATAGAAAGATTTGGGATGATATGACTAGATCTGTATTCCAATTCGATCGTCCACGTGCTACCCTTTATGCCTCTAATTATATTCCAGATTTTGGTAATAGTGATTGGAAGAAGTACTTTGGAAAATGTTCATATAATCAATTTGTTGCATCCAAGAGAACTTTAGATCCAAACAATATCTTCATGGACAATAGAAACTTCTTTTAAATAAACTCCTGTTGATAATTGAGTTTCTAAGGCCGATGTCATTTATTTTCAAGAATATTGAGAGAGATCTGACTTGCAATGATGCTTGTGGTAAATAATTACAGCTTCAATTCTTTTTAAAAAATGGCAAATGACAAACTATGTTTTGACCAAGCAGTTTCGTGTATTAAAGAAGGTGATTTGGAAAAACTCCAAATGACATTCCTGTCTGATGAAATATTAAAAAGTCTTTCAAAAGAGCAAGAAACCTTATTGACACTTGCTTGTCAAAATTCAAATTTAGAAATTGTCAAATATTTGCTATCCCAACAAAATATTGACGTGAATCAAAGCTCAATTTCTGGCACACCTCTCTACATTGCTTCAAATAAAGGCCAGATAGATGTAATTTTAGAAATATTATCTCATCCTCAAATTGACATCAACAAGGGAAACTCCACAACCAGTCCATTATATATTGCTTGTAAAAATAATAATACAGAAGTAGTCAAAACTCTTCTGACATGTTCCTCACTTCCAATTGATATCAATGCAGGAGAATCTCCTCTGTATCAGGCGTGTAAGAATGGTAATTTGGAAATTGTAGAGCTTTTAATTCAGCAACCTGGTTTGGATGTTAATTTGGGTCCAATTGATTTAGAGAATCAATCGTGTGAAAATACTGAAGAAGGACATATAGAAAGGAGGATTACACCTCTACATGCTGCTTTGGAAGGTGAATTTTTTGAAATCGTTACTGAATTGATGAAATGTGCAGGATTGGATATTGTTAATGATTATGATTTTGCAGAGAGCATTGGAGTTGGTTGGTGTATTGATTAATTTCTTTCAATTATACACATGTATTGGTTAAATTATTACCAAGTATAAGGGAAAAATTCAATAAATGCAAAGTGAAACATTGTTCCAATAATCAAGAATAATCCAATTACTCTAACCAGTAAAAATACGACCCTAATATACATATTCTTTCCTCTTTTCATGTGAATCAAGTAGAGAATGACGCTGATAAATCCATAAGAATGATGTAAAACAGAGTAAAATAAAAAGAAATAGACAATCATAATTCGTTCATGACTCAGAATTGGGAAAAAGTTGTTGATAATCACAATGATGGTCATGGCAAGAATGCAAACCATCACAATAACAATTCCAATGAATATTCTCCATCCTCCAATGTATCCGTAATCCTTTGACGTTGGTATTTCATTTTCTTTGTGAGTTCCAAACCAAATTGAAAACATGGTATAATACCTTCCTTTTCTATCTGGGAAAATATAATCAGCAATAGAAATATCCGTATTGAAATATTCAATTAATCCAAAATGACAAGTTGGGCATGGTGGACAATTCACACAGCAGTAACAACAATCGTCTTCTTTTGGTGGTTTACATGATTGAGCAATCTTGCTTCCTAATTTTCCCAACATGTGACCAATGGTTTCAAAAAAAGCTCCAAAGAAGGGGAATATAATATCAGACAATAATTGTAAAATAATTGAGAATATAAAAGGCACAGCCTCTTCAGCCACATTATAAACTCCCAAAATGGCAAGAATTCTCGCCTTGACAGCAATCCAAGACATGAAGAATGGTACCAAAATATACAGCATATGATCAATTTTGAAAATACTTGAAGGAATAGACATGAATGCCTTCAACAATAAAATTACAATTGGTGATTGAAGTGGTGCAAAAGATAACCATACATCAAAGCTACTGTCCTTCAATTTGGCAAATACTGAAAATATCGTTTCTTCTACCAACATGTTCGCAGAGCAAAAGACTGAATCGAACTTTAAACAAACATTATCAATGAGTGTTTGATTTTCCACATTTTCACAATCCTTATAACTCCAAGTTACATTATCCGAACTACACAAAACAGGACAAGCCAATGCAATACTATTTCGCTGGTACCACCTTCCCATCGATTTGCTCCTATTTACGTTGGCATAAAAGAGAGAACTCTCATCAAATACATATCCACCAATCCTCAACTCTTGTCCATCATATCTCGTACAGTTCAATTCACTACTCCACACCTTACACATCTCCTTCACTTGTAATGCAGCAGTACAGTCGGCATCTTCAATCATTGTGTGAGTGGCCGAGAGTGTCGACGCAATCATGGCCAAAGCTACTGCCAAAACAATCGAACACATAAAGGAGGCAACATTTTCAATTCTCCTATTCAAAATCAAGGCAAAACATTGAGAGTAGAGAGTTTTCCTATAATGTTTAGAAATTGATTGGGTAAAGTAATTATTTAAATAATTCTCATTATCATCCTCGATGTGATTTGAATTTTCAAAGCCTTCCAAAGTGTGATTTTCCTCATCATCATCACGATTATTATTTAAATTATTATTTTCCTGATGATGGAGAAGGGATGATTGTTCGGTGAGAGCTATCCTGTTCGTCGTTGCATCAGTCGTGCCGGCATCTTGTTGATAAGTTATTGTATTGTTAAATCCCGATATGTGCCGATCATCTTTTGACATTTTTTTTTAAATACTATTTAAATATTTAAATAATTAAATATTAAATAATTTAATTACAATATTATTACTTAATACACTCCCAAATCAAGACGTTCCATTATTCAATCATATCTCCATTCCTCAAAATTTCCTTAATAACCCTTTCAACTCTTAATCCATATTTTCTTTAAAATCCAAAAGATCCCAAGAGATATATTGAATCCAAATCACTACATCATGCTCCTTACGTTGTATTCTTCCTATACTGTGTGCACACAGCATTAACATCACAACATCCTTCCTCACTATCACATGATCACAAACTGCACCTCTTTTTGCATTACAGTCACTTTGAATACAGTAAGAAGGGATATAAGAGAAAGAGATCAACTCCATTTGGACTATATATCAATTAGGGCGAAAAGGGTGTTCATGTTCATTCAATGGACTTAAATTATAGAAGAAGAAAAAACAGCAAAACCTTAATATTCAATATCAACTTACTATTTTAATCATCATCATCATCATTAGAAAGGAATAAGAGTACATATAACATGATGAAGGAAACATTGACTTCTTGCATGGGATGGATTGTCTGTAATGAAGATGGAGAGGAAACACGATTTATGAAACCCTTTCGGAGAAGACAATCCAATTCAGCAACAACAACACTTACACATCAACATCATCATCAGCAGCAGCAACAGCAGAATAGGCAGAAATTGATGGAGTATTACATCTTGTTGGAACAGTTTCATCCAGATTTTGTCTATGAAAATGTGTTCAAGTGGTTTTGTCATGATGAAGTGATGAATTGCCTTAGTCATGTCTGTCGATACTTTCGACAAATTTGCTGTTGTTATTTACCAATACACATCAAGTATGATAGTCATTTGGATGAAAACATTCTTCATGTGGATGTGGCATGTAAGAGGAATGCAAATCATGCTGTGTTAAATTTGAGTGAAGATGTGGAGGGTAGTGAGAGTGTGGATCAAGTTCATGATGAGAACTTTTCAGTGTATGTTGTGGGGAGTGGGAATGTTCTGGTGGAAAAAATTAAGAGCTCTTTGCCATTCAAGAAGGTTGTGAAATTTTCCATAATTGGAAATCCAAAGTTTTATCAAATTCCCACCATTGAAAGTTTCAAACATTTGAGAAGTTTGGCATTCAATGTTCATTATTATAGTAATGTTAGCGAGATGAGCAAAATTTTGGAACATTTTCTTGAAAATATTGAAAATCAACAACAATTTACCAAAATGAAACATTTGCAAATTGAAAATACTTTCAATCTGAATGAGAATACATCACTCAATTTACCAAATATCATCCACATGATGAAAAAAAGGAAAGGAATCCCAATTCCAACAATAACATGTTTAATTCCAATAAGGATGCATGTTTTATTGAAATATTTCAGAGTGGAAAATTTGATTGTTGGATCAATTTTCAGTATCAAGTGGAAGAAGGTTCATGATGATGTTTGTTTGAACTTGTTTAAATGTCAATTAACTTCATATAATTTGCACAAGTTTGAAAAATTAGTCAATCATGAAAAGTTTAAAGTGAAACAATTGGAAATTCAAGGAAATGCATCTGTTCTTCCATTCCTATCTAGAATTATAGAACAAGTTAATCAAAAAATGATCAAAACTGTAATATTTCATCAATCTGTTGATGGTGTCAGTTTATTCAAACTACTGAACTCACAAACTACCTTACAACAAACTGAAATAGTGATCAAAGATCCGATTTGTATCAAATTCTCTGAATTCGAGTCATGTTGGTTCAATTCTAGAATATTCTCAATTAGTGTTTCAATAGAGAATGAAAGTGAGCTTTCTGAATTCATTGAAATATTGAAGAGACTTCCAAAAATGGAATTATTATGTGTTGTCTGCGAGAATGAGAAAATTTTCACAATAGCCAAGTATGAGTTTACCAATTCCAACAAGCTGCAACTTTCAAATATTCTATTTTACAGGAGAACGAATAGTTTAGAATCGGATAATATAATAGGTGCTAGCAAGTTTAATTTTGATCGATTGCAGAAAATTAACAAACGAAAGAATGAATCCCAATTCCTCAAAGATAATTGTACCTTACTAGATTTGAAATTCAAAAAGTGTAAACCTTACTTTCCTTATTTGAAAATACTTCCATAGTAAATTTGAATTTTTTCATTCATTTCCAAGCCAATCCCCTCAATTCAACAAGAGCAAATATTCATCCAGATGCGTACGCACGCGCTCATTAAAAAATATTCCAATTCTCTTTACAAAATTGTAAACTTTCCAAATAAATTAATACGCACTCAAAGATTGAAATTTATTAAATTTTCAAATTAAAAAAAAAATGTCCATCCATACACGCACCATTCCTCTCAGTCGCAAACTCTCACTGCATATTCTACCAATCCTCTCCGATAATTATTGTTATTTTCTGATCAATCATCATACTAATCAATATGCAATGGTTGATCCTTCCGATTCTAAAAAGATTCATCAATATTTGAATAGCAATGAGGGACAATCATTATTCAATCAAAAGAGTCTTTCTACTATTCTGACGACTCATAAACATTGGGATCATGCCGGAGGTAATTTGTATTTTGTAAAGAATTGGAAGGAATTTTCATCATTGGAAAAAGTACAAGTTGTTGGAAATGGAGAATGTGAAGGAGTCAATCAAGAATTGAAGAGTGATTTGGAGTCATTTACAATCTTTGATGATAAGACTGTGGTTCAGGCTTATCACACTCCATGTCATACCAATGGACATGTTTGTTATCTTGTCAGAACATCAGATGAAGAGGGAGGCAATTTCGATTGTTTATTCTGTGGAGATACATTCTTTGTGGGAGGATGTGGAAAATTCTTTGAAGGAACTGCTCAACAAATGTTTGATAATATTGTAAAATTGAATAAGGAAATTAAAGATCCAGAGAGAATGCTATTGTGTTGTGGTCATGAATATACACTCAAGAATATGCAATTCATTGTGGATAAGATTTCTGATACAGAAACAAGTAGAAAATATTTGAACAAGTATAAGAACTTGATGGAGGAATCTCATGGAACTGTTCCTTCCACATGGCAAGATGAGAAAGAGTACAATCCATACTTTAAAGCAGCCCTCTTGGAATCTTTTGAAACAAGAAGAGAATTCTTTGATAAGATGATTAAAGATGGTTCTGCCACTGAGGATGATTTAAAGACTTGGTCAAGTGTTAAAATCTTGCAAACTGTACGTGACCTGAAAGATAAATATTAAATTATTTACAAAATTTTTGTTAATACGACACTTACCGTTTAAGGAATGCACTTTAAAAAGTTGTGGGCGTTGGCATTTGGTTTCCAACAACTCTTGAAGTTTGAACAAATAGTCAACTGAAAAACAGGGAAAATGTTCATAATCTTCTTCAGCAACCAATTAAAATCATGGAACCCTCGCCCTTTGGATAAAACCAATTTCCATATTCAGACAGAAATGTTCACTCAACTGTTGTAAACTCTCTATTTCATTGGTTTTCACTTGAAAAAAATAAATTCCCTTTCCATGAGAGGGCATGTGTTGGACTAAAGTAAATGTATTTTGAAGCCCATCAATAAAGCAGTGTAACAGTGTGAAAAACATTTAAATTCACAACGCAACCATGCCTCTGGACAGTCCATTGAAAAAAACAAAATGAAATCAATTATTGCTATCGCTCTCATCTTGGTCTTGTGTCAACTTGTCCAAAGCTCCACCATTTCCATTGAAAAAGGTTTAGGTGGTCCAATGGGTTCAACCTACGAAGAATCATCTCCTCTCGTTAGGTCAACCATGGATTCAGCCAAATCATTCATCCTCCCATCCAACAACAATTTCAAATCCATCGCTGCTCCAAGAGCTTCCCTTGATTGTGCTTGTTCTGGTTGTACCACTTTCACAGATGTCAACCAACAATTCTACAAGTTTAACACTACATGTTTGGATTCCAGAAACTTTGCCTCCAATTCTATCAACTTGGGTTCTGACAATACTAAAGAAATGTACAGAATATACTACTTCAAAGAAGCTGAATTCAGAAAGTTTGATGCTGGTAATACTGCTGTTCCAATTTCTCCAAGTCCTTTAACCACCAATTGTTTGAGTGCTTCTGGAACTATTTTCAATTCTCCAAATGTCATTACCACTTACAGATGTGAATCTTCAGTTGCTAATGCTACTACTTGCACAACCAAGTACAAGTATACTGGAACTTGTTATATTGGATTGAATAATATTAATGCAACAAGTTATTTCCAAGATGGAAAGTTGAAAGTTTTGGTTGAATTGTACGGAAATGATGGAAAGTTGTGGATCTATTCTGGTTCTACCATTACTGTAACTGCTAAGAGTGCTTCCTATTCTGCAACTGTTTCAACTTTAAACATCTACTCTGGCTCAACTATTTTTACATTCCCTGTTTCTACTACTGCTGAATCTTTCAGTATTACAATTACAGCTGAGAATATCTTTGGAACTCTTTTGACAACCTTGACTAAAGATCGTTCTACTAGTGGAGCTTCAGGATTGAGTTTGGGTGGTTTTGTCCTGATGGTTGCCATGATTATTTTCTCATTATTCTAAATAAACTCAAATATATTTGTGTGAAAACTAAAAGAATGAAAAATCGGGAGAGAGCATTTGTGAAAAATCCTCAGAAAGAAAGTGGAATGGATTTTCTGCAATGTGTTGGTTTGAACTTTCGAATGGTTGTGAGTGTTGAGCTGCCTCATTAACAAATCCCAATAAAAAGGAAAGTGGCTGTTCATCAATTAGACAAGAACTCTCCACGTGAGTAGTTTGTGGCGTGGCCACGTCAGAAGTTGTGCTGAATTCCACATTCTGTTGAGATGATTGTTCAACTTTCTTCTTTAAAATTTCGTCCATTTCATTCATCATGGTTCCATAAGAAAATTCAACTCGTTTGTATCTCTTTGCAAGCACTCTCAAAGCTAGTAAATCTTTGGCTAGAATTTCGTAATAATCTACACTTGTTGGATTCTTCTTGCTTTCCTGTTGTGTTTGCCCATTTTCGATCTGTTTCACTATTTGTAAATGGAAACGACTGGCCAAAGCAACATATGGCAGAACAAATATAGGAAGCAAGGGAAAGTATTCAGTCTCTGATGAATAGGTAACTTTCAAAGCAGCTTCTTCAATTAGTTCATTTCCCTGTCCAGAGCGCATAAGCATTGAAATGCTCAAACCATTCAAAAAGATGGATTTGAAATTCTCAAGATAGTTGTCAATAAACTTTCTCTGTTCTTCTGTCTTATAGGAATTTGTCTTTTCTTTAGAGAATTGGACAGTGTGATTTACAATTATTTCAATAATTTTCATTTGATCCAAATAATTAGTTGAGTTGACGGAGTCTTGCTGCAATACCTTAATAATTTCATCTGGTAATGGAAGATTGGTAATTGCTTCAAATATTTCTGGCAAATTCTTGACAAATAAATGACCCATCTCATTATGTGAGTCCACAATTTCAGCTGTTCTAATCAATTGTTTCATATTCCTCTCAAATGAATTCTTTGGCTCATTTCCATCAAAATAGGACTTGACACAATTCAGATAGAATCTCGAATAATTAACCCTTCCATATCCCATTTCATATCGACTCAGTAATTTATAAGTGCAAGCCACTGTATAATTTGTGAAATTGTCAAAATTTTTCGAGAGCAATTCTCGGCATTTCTCAATTGACCTCAAAGATTCCATTCCAAATCGTTGCTCCACAAGCCCTTGCATGGCATAAAACAGTGCTTGAACTCGTCTTTTTTCTTGATATTCCTGTATTCATAAGGTTCCATTGTGTCATGTCGTTTCAATTGTCTCATCATTGGTAGATCTTTACCTCCAGCTTCCATTTGATATCCACAATAGAAAATATTATGATCCTTTGTCAAGGCAATAATATTGTGATCCCCATTCACTGATTTGACAAAGAATGGATTTTTACATTCATTCAAAGGATCAAGATTACAAAGATTAACTTTGCAAATAACATTACTTGTTCTAAAACTAATTGTTGGTTGAGCTATTTCACCAAATTGATTACTACCACATGCAAAAAGTCTTCCATGGGATGTAATAAATGTACAGGCATATGCAGCACATGAAGTATAATTAACATATTCCCCATCCATCAATTCAAAATCTTGCAAATGATACCAAGTAGTAGTTTGAGGTCCTTCCTTATTGGAGAAATGATCCACCAACTCTGTACATTCAGTAATTGTCTCTCCAAATTTATTACCACCTCCATTAGTATTAATAAAACACCAAAATACTCTTGTCCCAATATTTGTAGTATTGCCAGATTGTAAAATCATAACAAGAATATGATAACTTGCACTGATATGCACTATTTTCTCATTGGTAAATTTAAAACTTGTTCCCAATCGTTGCCACCCGCTCTTACTACCAACAAATACTTCATCGTGTTCCGAAACTACAAAACAATTATTTACTCGACATACAACCATCTTGATTTTCCCAAATTTATTGAAAAATTGATGATCGGGAGGTGCTAATTGTGGACTCGGCTTGGTAGAACAAATTGTTTCATCATGATCAGAAAAGAGAGCAAAACAATTCTTTGATTTTTCTTCTTCTTGTTGCATTTTTTCCAACATTTTTAAAGTTCGAATCGAAACTTGTTACGTTTACAATAAATCTACACTGCAATTTTCATAAATTTCCAATGGAATGTCCACATGTCGAGCTCTCAAAAACTCACCCCAAGATTTGGCGAATGAATCCATTCTTGCAGTACTTGAAACTCCCTTTCCCAAAATTCCAATCACTTTAAAGTGAACAGCTCTCAAATTTTCAAATTCACATCTTTCGATAATATAGTCGGGAGAATTATCATTTCCAAGCAATTTTCTAAAAGTTTCCTCGTTGAGGAAGGATTTAAGCCATGGCCATGCTTGGTCATGAAGGACATAGATTCCAACATTCATGTTTCCTCCTTTATCTCCAGAACGAGCAAGGGCTACTCTTCCTAGTGGAGCCCTGATTGTTTCTGGATATTTAGAAGGGTCAAATTCGAGAGTTGGAAGTTGGTTGACTGAGCAGGAAATTTCTTGTCTTGGAATTTCCAAATCGTTTACAATGAATTCCTTGTCGTTTACAAAAACTGTGTGTTCTAGAGAGGATACATCAAGAAGTGCTGGATAATATTCAATGAAAGGTTTTGGTTGAGCAGTTCTGAAATCCATATTCAAGTGGAAACCTCCAAATCCTTGCATTCCAGTTGACAAGATTCGTCCAGTGAAATTCTTAAACGAAACTGTTTCGGCATCAATAGCTTGAGCAAAAACACGAATTTGACAAGTTGCCTCTGCTTGAGATTTTGGATCTTGAACTTGTCCTCCATATCTGGTCACATCAAGAACTAGGAATTTTTCTGGGTTGACCATCCTCATCATTTGCTTTCTGAAATGATCTTCCTTTTCTTGGACGTTTGGACTTGTCATGTAAACAGAGAATTCAACTTGATAGCCACCAATTCCACAGATGGCAACTTTAGTTTGCTTGGATGGAGCACTTCCCTTAATACCTGTCAATGCAACTCTGTCAGGAGCAATTTCTGTAATTTGAGCAGTACTGAGATGACAGGTTACATCAGGGTTTAAATAGATAGGTCCTTGAATTTCATATAGGAATTGGGTAGTGACAGTTCCAAGTGAGATTTCACCATTTGTGTTTGAATGTTTTGTAATGACACAACTGCCATCATGAGCTAGTTCAACAATTGGAAATGGTAAATCGACATTATTCTTGACATTTCTAAAACCTGCATAATTTCCTCCTGTAATATAAGCACTGCATTCAATTAAATGTCCTGTCATGACAGCACCTGCCAAAATGTCAAATTGATCTTTTTTCCAATCATGCCACCAAATACCACATCCAACCACAAGTGAAGCATCAGTAACTCTTGGACAAATGACAATGTCTGCTCCTTCATTCAATGCTTTGGCAATTCCCCAAGCACCCAAATAAGCATTTGCAGAAATTGGAGTGCATCTCCATTCGGATAACTTGACATTTGGATTATCCAAGTGAATAAACTCATTTCCAGTTTCAATTAATTCAGGAATCTTTCTTACAATGTCATCACCTTCAATCCAAGCAATATTCATTTCAATCTTTTGCTCATTCAAGACCTTTCTCAATTCTTGGACTAAACCTGAAGGATTCAAGGCCCCAGCATTCACAACAACCTTGATACCTTTCTCCTTTAAAACTGGCAATGCTGGTTTCAAATTCTCAACGAAACCCTCATCGTATCCTTTGGATGGATCTGTTTTTCTAGCCAATGCATGCCATGCAATATTAACCTCAGCCAAATAATCACCAATAATGACATCGATTGGATGATCACCAACTGCTTGATCATAAATTGCATTCGGATTGTCACCAGTTACTCCAGAACAAGCTGCAATATTTAGAGGTCTCTTCATTTTCTCAAATTCTTCACAATTACTTTACAATTTTACAAATACTCTTCAAAAACTGATCAAACACTTTACAGAGATCAATTTGATTGTTTTTATTTTGAAAATTTGTCACAACCTTCCTTCTAATTATTCAAAATACCAACTGGGCTTCGGATCAATCTAACATTTTCGGGTTCCCACTCAAAATCAGCAAATAGCACAATTTCGGGCTTGGCGGGAAAGTCTTTACCGCTGCGTTCAATCCCGCTTACAAAAAAAATGAAAATTATTTAAAGCAGGCTACGCCTTACAATGCTACTACCAGCACATATTATCAAAACCATTCAGTTCCAATCATCGTCATCATATTGATCAGCAAAAGCGTTATATTTCCATTTCTTTTGATGAGGCGGTAATTGATTTAAAAAGGTTTAACTGTGCGTCGTCGGGAAATGAATTAAAAAAAAATTAACATTAATTGTCATCATTGGCTTTTTGAGTTGAATAATTGTTGTGTGTGATCTGTGTATTATTATAATGGCAAGACTTGAAGAGACTATTAAAACAATTGTTGAATCGATCGGTAAGGATTTACCAGTTGGAATTGATCAAGAGGTGGTTGAACTCTTGGAGAAGGTCAAATTTGAATCAAGTATTGGACTTGTGGAACCAATACTTCCATGTCCTGTCAAACAACAAGAAGCAGTTTCTGTACTGAAGGGAATTGAAGGAAGTTTGGCAAATTTACTTGGTAAGGAAAGATTTGGTGAGCAAAATGTCACAGTCAATTTGGATCGTGCCTTGATGTACTTGAATACTGTACTGTTTGCTGCCACTCCAGCTCTTATGAAGATTTTACCAAATACTGATTATCATGATACATTCAGTAATGAATATCGATTTGCAAGTACCAATATTTACAAATGTAAGGATGGTAAATTCTATCACTTGCATGGTTCTTTGAATGCTACACCAACTTTTGACATGTTGGGAATTCCACATAATCAAAATCTCAATGCAGCTGAAGCATTTGCATTTATTCAAGAAAAGGTATTGGAATGGAACTCTTCTGATATTGAGAAAGTTTCAAATGAACAATACAAACAAGCAGGTGTTACTTGCTTGACGAGAGAGGAATTTTTGGAAAGTGAACACGGACAAATCATTCATGCAAAGCCATTGTGGGAAGTTGAAAGTATTTCAGAAGGAAAACCTCAGCCAATTACTGGTACAAGAAATATTCTTGATGGTGTTAAAGTTTTGAGTTTGGGGAGAGCTATTGCAGGTCCTGTCATTGGTCGTAATTTATCAGAATATGGAGCTCAAGTTTTGAAAGTTATTGGACCACACAGTCCTGATGGAAGTGCATTCCAATTGGATAATATTGGACAAAATTCATGTTTTATTGATTTGAAAACTGAAGAAGGAAAATCAAAACTGAGGGAGCTCATTAAGGAGTGTGATATTTTCGTTCAAGGATACAGACCAGGAGCTTTGGAAAAATTAGGTTTTGGATTCAAACAAGTAACAGAGATGGTAAAGGATCGTGGTTATGGTATTGTCTATGTCTCTGAGAATTGTTATGGAAATGATGGTCCACTTTCATACAGATCTGGTTGGCAACAAATTGCTGATTGTGTCTCTGGTCTTGCTTGGAAACAAGGAAAGGCCTTAGGATTGGATGAACCAGTCTTGCCACTCTTACCAATCTCAGACTATTGCTGTGGAGTGATGGGAACTTGTGGTGCTCTCGATGGTCTTTGGAGAAGATCCAAACAAGGAGGATCCTATCATGTAACAACCTCTCTGACCAAGTACAATGATTGGGTTCAAGATCTTGGTGAATATTCAGCTGATGAGATGAAGGAATTGAATGAGAAATTTGGTGTCCCATATCGTCATTTTGATACAATGGCTGCATTGGCAACCAAGTCATTGATGGGAATGATTAAGAGAGCTCCACGTTTATTGGAACATCTTGGTTGTTTTGAAGAAACTCCATTCAGTTATCAACCTGTAAAATATCTGAAACCAGTTGTTCAAATGAGTCAAACTGTTAATCAATTCTTAATTCCTCCTCGTCCTCATGGTTATGATAAGGCAGAATATCCAACTCTTTAAATTATTTTAAATAATAAACTACATGATTCGTAAATATCTTTTTCTCAATATTGTATCCTTCACTCTCTTCTGAATTAACGACGAATTGGCAAAGATGAATTGAAATCTGTATGTAGCTCTATTTATCCTAATAAGTTAACATCTCAGTCGGAAGTAATGATTTGTATATCTGTCAATTTTTCATTCAGATAATTATTGAAGAGGCACCGTATCATTCTATTGTTGTCAGGAATGATACATGGTGAGATGAAGGTTGTTTTTTGATCTATTCTCTCTCCAAAGATTATTTCACAAACAGATTTGATATCCTCTTCTGAGATTGTATTCACAATATGATAGGAATCAATTGTAGTTCTATCTATTTTCTTGAAATATTCTGAAATGATCGAGTTGATAACCAGTTTAAGATACTGATCAGGAATTCTGTCTAGCTCTGCTATAATATTAGTATTGAGTTCTCTATCATATTTCACTCCATTTTCCAATTTTTTCCATAGAACATCTGGTTTTACAAAGAGAATTATGTTACGAGCAGGACCAAGCCATCTCGAATTCATAACCTCACTAAATAAGGATAGTGATTCTTCCATTCTATTAGTAATGTTATCTTCAAATAAAAATTGATTAAATTCTGAAAGAGAAACCATATAAATCACTGTATGAACATCTTCAAAGCAATAAATCCATTTCCTTCTTTCTTTTCTCTGTCCTCCAACATCGATCAGTTCAATGTTGTTTCTGATTGGTTCGTCTGTCGACATTCCAGCCGTCCTACAATGAATTAATGAATATGGAGAAAAGATTTTCCTGTTTTCAATTCTTGAAACTAATTCCTTGACATTTTCGTACATTGTGATTCCATCTCTACTCCACACTGATTCGTAAAACTCTCTAAAGAATGGAATTTTCCAAAGATTGACCAATATTTCACAACAATCTCTATTTTGCAATTCAGTAGCTAAACAAGTATTTCGTGCAGTTTCGAACACTAATCTCAGTTCTGGGTTGATGAGATCTTTCAAGTGATTTCGGTCTTGCTCTCCCATCACTTCCCAAATTCGCTCAACAACCCATGAGCAAACAATTCGCAAATTATTTTCAAACTTTTCATCAACTTTATGGCCGAAAGTTATCAATTGCAACATGTGGAATAATGTGGATTTACCAGAATCGGAGGTACCGAGTAATAGAACTTTTTTAGTTAATTTCTGTTGAATGATGGTTCGTATTGGCATCAAGGTACGTGATGGCTTTGTTCCCATTTTTTTTTAAATTGATGCAAGGATTTAGTTAAAAATTTGTTGTAGCAAAAAGTAATCTCCCCCTGGTGGGCTCGAACCACCGACCTGCAGATTAACAGTCTGACGCTCTACCGACTGAGCTAAGGGGGATCACATCCACTAAAATAAATTACTCCAAATGTTCTTAACTTCACTCATTTCCTATATTGTTTATTCCAACTTTGTTTTACACAATATATTCTATAGCGAAATCTCTTTATAAAACAGTTTGATATTCCTCTCCACCACGTTTCAACCAACGTTGCAAAATCTTCTTCTTCCACAAAATAGCTCCTCCAATCACTCCACCAATTACACACAATCCCAAAATTGTAAAAGTTCCCAAAATTCCTCCAACAATTGCTCCAGCATTACTCGAATCAGTAGCTTGTTGTGGAGTAATCAATATTTTAACTCTAACTGAAGATTCCACAGTGTAGGTCTTGTGTTCCTTCATGAGAATGAAAACCTTATCAATGCCATCCATTCTCTTGGTTGAGGAGAGTGAAATTGAAGTGGTTGACTCATCTTGGAGGACAAAACTTTGAAGGGAATTGGAGAAGGTAGGTAGATAGTAAATGTCATCTTTTGTTTTTTGGAGGTAATCTTGTTTTTGGTCAGCTGTCAACAAGTATAACGTGATGCCTCTTCCGACAAGTTCGATATCGGTACGAATTTCATTGAATGGTGAAATGGTGCATTCGAGTGGAAAGTAACTTTCTCCTGGTGATAACATAAAAATCTTCTCATCAAAATTGCATGTTGTACTTTCGGCAGAAATGTTAGACGAAAGAAGAAGGACTAATGAAAGAAGAATTGTAATCAAAAATGTGATGGTGAGTTGTTTTTGCATTTTTTTAAACAAAGTTTTGATGTGTTCAACAATTGACCCACTACTTATTCGAATATTGAGCTTCCTCTGTCAGGACATGATGTGAAAAAATTTCACACCAACGGTTTTTCAAATTCTCCTAATAACAATTTTAAAATTCGAGTTGATGTTTACTTGAAACCACACAAATCATTGCAGGAAGTTCTTATTTCACAACAACTCTACTAATGATATCAAGATTACAGTAAAACTATCACACTACGGTTGACCAAAAAACCAAAAACACATTCTATTCAAAATCTTCATGCAAGCCCACCAAGAGCCACAATAGAAGATCACTTCTTTCACATTTCACATCACAACTTTTTCACAAACCAATCAAATTTGCTTGATGACCATTGTAACGGCACAGTATTTTTGGCGCGCATTTCTCTACGTAAAATAAGGCCCGATAATCACAGAAGAAAAAACGCGAGAGATAATCTCAAAGCAAAAGGCTTTTGCTTGTGTGGTTCAGCAGAGAATGCGGAAGTGAAAGGAACAAGAAGGCTTTGCGCTCACAGAAAAACATTCTCGAAAAAAAACAATTAAAACTCAGAGATGAAGGCTACACAAATCGTCCTCGCACTCGTTGTCTTGTGTTTGTACTTGACTCCTTTTGTCATGATGAAGGCTACACCAAGATTCGGTGCTGATCAAGAAAGTTTGAAGAATCAAATCAAGGCTAGAATTCATGGAAGTTCTGCTTTAAAGTCAAAGATTTTGAGCTTTGCTATTAACAAGGTTGAAGAATCAAACCCAGCTATGGCCACCCAAATGAGATCAAGAATGATCAAGGGTGATTATGAATTGTGTGATATGTGTATTCAATTGTTGGATCAAACCATCAACCAATTGTTGAACATTATCTTGAACGTTGGTGTTATTGGATCATGTGGTGAATTGTGTGGATATTTGAAGGTAAGTTATCTTGACAAGTCTCTGATCAAACTAATCAAATATTTCTTAAAACCGTCATGACATTTAACACTTGACATTTTGACAACATTGTTACAACCAATGTGTGATTGTGAATACAACCATAACAATAGGGAGTTGGTTCTCTCGTTGTTGCTGCCTGTAGCTTGGTCTGTGATTACTTGGGTGTTAACGAATTCATCAATTTGATTGATAAGGCTGATTTGGATGCTATCTATGGATGCCAATTGGTCTCCTTGTGTCCAGTCAGAAACTGCAAGCTCCCAACTTGTGCTCAATTCTTCAACTCTAGAGTTGTTCCACAATCTGCTCCAAAGGGTACCACTTTCACTGCTGTTACTCAATTGAGAGTCTACAATCAAACTGGTACTGGTGAACTTTACTTTGAAGTGTTTGTATCAATCTAATTTTATGATTCTAATCATTTTCATATTTTACAATATTAATCATTGATTTTTCACACACACTTGTTGGAACATATTTTGTGGAATGATACTATCACAGTGATGGACCAACTACTGCTGACATTTCTGGAGGTGAATTGGTTGCTAACGGTTTCCAACCAGGTACTTTTGAAATTCAAGTTAAAGTCCAAACTCAAGATGATGAACAAAACCAAATTGTCTTTGAACCAGGTAAATATACTTTCTTCTCTGCTGCTTGTGAAGGTGAATGTGGATCCAAGCATCCAAATAGTAGAGTTCTTGCTACCACCACTGCCAACTTTACTCTCACTGATCAATAAATAATTATTTATTTTCATTAATTATTCAATCCTATGGACTAGCTTCATTTACAAAATGCGACTCTCACATTCTGCTCAAGTTCCAAAGCAAACAACAACAACTGTTAAAAATCCAAATAAGAATTATCATCAGGAATTTAAAAATATTTTAAAATTTTTAATATTATTTAAAAAAAATGTCTTCGCCAAGTGAGGATGATAATGACTTTTTCAACCCTTCCTTGTTGAATGATGATTTAGGACAGGGTTCGTTCGATGACTTGGATAATCGTCTCGCTAAAAAACTATCCGTTAATGAGTATGATGATGATAAAAATGATGAAACTTTTGGTGATGAAGGTGATGATGGAGGCTTTTTTATTTCTAACAATGATGCTTCTGATCTTGTTCGTGGATCCCGTCCATACTATTCTGTGGATGATGATTGGAATGGAAAGAAGGCTTTTTCCAGCCATACAACATCAAGCCTCCCACAACATTCACAACAACACCACTATCAACATTCTCAACAACAACATTCCTTGTTTGGCTCTACTAGCTCTCCAGGAGGAAGTGCTGCTGGTTTTCACAATGCTCACTCTTCTTTAAATACAAGTGGAAGTAGCACTGGTAGCGGTTTTGGTATTCCTATTGGACATTCACCATCTTCACCATCAAATTATATTCCTGGTGGAACACCTTCTCATCACCATACAAACACTGGTTCTTTTGGTAGTTTTGGTAGTAATAATAGTGGTAGTTTTGGAAGTTTTACACATCAACCAGTTATTTCTTCACCAAGAGCAACAAATATCTTGTTAGGTTCTCCTTCCGCTACATCACCTTCTGGTTCATTCCTTTCTAATATTTTGGGAGCCAGTCCAAATAGTGGTGCTACACAATCATCAATTATTGGTGGAGGACAACACATTCGTCAAGGAAGTAATAATGGAAGTGCTTCCTTGTGGGGTACTGCTAATGATAATCAAAATGATGATGCCTTCCTTGGTTCATTCTTTGCTGGTTCCGGTAGTGGTTCATCAGGAGGTGTATCAACTGTAGGCACTCATCACCACACAACTTCTGGTTCTTCTACAAAACAAAGTACAGGACTTCACTATATCACAGACTTGATTTCTGAGGAAGATGAAGATGATAAGAGCAGTGGAAGTGGTAGATCTAGTACTCATCAATTATCAAGTGGTGCCAATTCACCTTTTGGATTTACCAATACTGAAGTTAGTGCTACTATTGCAGCAAATTCAAGAATTCCAATCTCTGGTGGTTTGGAACCTCTCGAATTTTTACCAACTACTGTTGCTCACAAACATCCCGAATTAGTAAAGGGAGAAAAGCAACAAGCACCAACAACAACAAGTACTACCAACAATACTACATCAGGAGGAACAACAACAAATCAACAAACTTCTACACCTTCCTATTTGATGGTTAAATATAATACTTATAATACTGAAGATAAGACTGACTGTTACAATGTTATTAACAAGGTTGTAGTTAATGAAGTTTTGAACAAGATTCCAACACCTCAAGATCAAAGAAACAAGTTCCACAGATTTAACAATAATAATAGATCTCACAACAACAATAATAATAACAATGAAAAACCACATAGAATTATCCAATTTATGAGAATTGATGAAGTGGAAACTATTATTCGTCAACAAATGGTAGATTTACAAGTACACAATGGATACTCTGATGATTATTATTACTTTGTGAAAAATAACAATACTGAACAAACTATTGACCTTCTTAGCAAGCATCTAACTGAAGAAGAGGAAGAAAGAGAAAATGCCAGACAAACAGCCACATCTAATCAACAACAAGGAACCAATAATACTTCTACAACCACCACAACAACAACAACACCACCTGCTAGATTATTTGGTAGAATTCCATCTCAAAATGTCAGAACTCCAAGAACATGCTTTGATACTAATGTATTCCGTGATGAAGTTGTCGACCAATATTACAAACATAAGAGAATACCATCAGAGTTACGTACTAGACTTGTCTATAACAATCCAATTCAATTGAGAACATGCATTGAGAATGGTTTGACTCTTTTGATTGAAATTGAAGAATTCCAAACTGTTGCTCAACATTCTAAGGAAATTTCTCCAAAAGTTGCTGAATCTTCTTATGTTAATTGTCAAACTGTTGCTTCCTATCTTTTATATCACCAAGAAATTTGGAATATTCCAAAAGGAAAGAAATTTATTTGCAAGTGTCTCAATATTCTTCCACAACCTTTCAATACCAAGTTGCTCCTTGATATGATTCCAATTTTGATTGCTGAACATTCCACCAATCCTCAACTTGTAGAATCCATGATTAAGAGCTTGAATTCGATAGTCAATATTGGTACAATTACACTAGTGTTGGTACAATTAATGAGAAGTCCACCTTCCTCCATTGAATTCCTCAACGCCTTGCTCAATAGAGCTATTACCATACTCTCTCCTAAATATCAACAACAGCAAATGGTACAACTCAATATGTGGTATCAAACTCTCATCCAACAATTTATTCCTTTCTTTATGTCATATTATCACACATTGACTCCTGATATCCTGTACCCAATCCTTTCCAATATTTTAAAGTTAATCCCAAGAAATCTCCCTCAATTCCACCACATTTTATTCCACATTGCCCACGATCCACACAATCATCCTCTCAAAGCACAATTGATTCAACTTTACACCCAACCAACCTACCAATAAAAAATTTCCATTTATCCATTTGTTCTCTAATTTTTCACTCTGGATAAGGAATGGTTTGTTATGAATGGATATGAGGATTTGGTCAAGATTTCCAATCTGGCTAAAGATTTACGGTAACGTAGAAAATTCCTGGCGTTGGTGGTTAAATATTTATTAAGGATGATCCATAAGACTAATGGTCATTATGTTCAATGTGCGCAACACAATAGTGTGTTATTTCTTCCAATCTATGGAGGCAGCTAATTACTACTATTTCTTCTTTGCAATTAAATCTTGAATTTCACTTTCATATATGTTATTCAATTGTATGGATTGTCTTCTTCCTGTTGTTGCTGGTGCAAGCCAATCGTTCTTAAGACCCATATTGTGTGCTTCAGTGTTATAGACAACCCCTGGTTCCGTGGTTGTTTTAGTAATTGTATAATTCTCCAAATGATGTTGATCATGTTCATCTTCGTCATGCTCATCATCCGAAGGAGGGGCGTGATAGGATCTATTGGCTAAACAGGCAGAACATTGTGTTTCCTGATAATATTTCAATTGATTTCTTAATTCCTTAATTGTTTCCTCCTTCATTTTCAATTCCAGCTTTACCTTACTGACTAATTGTGAGTCCAAGATTGGTACGTTCGATATACTATTATTATTAGGCATGATGTTGTTGTTGTATTTAGATTATTATAATTGAAGAGGAGGATAATGAGGCTTGTTGGTGGTGTAAATTGGAAAAATCAAACTCTTCTTTGCGGTAATTTTTTAAGGAAAAACGGAGAGAGAGGATGATGGTGGCTGTGATTGGGTTTTTTTTCTGGTGGTTTTATTAAGTGTGAGGATCCCACAAATCGAGCATGAATAAGGGAAAACCTTTTTGATCATGCGTGTGGAGAAGAGCTTCCACTTTATCAAGACCATTTTGAATATATTGCGTATTGTTGATCAATCCAGTGAAATAATTATTAATAGACAAGCTGAGGTGTTAGAGTTATGCATCTTAATAATATGCACAATATTTTGCGAGGAAATGAATCTGACAATTTGAGGCCACAACTGAGTTCAAAAATGTTCAAACAATTTACAGCACTCAAAATGGTGGTAGTGGATTTTAAGCAGTGCTAATTTCCTGTTGAGCTGTTCTATGTTTGTCAATTCATGCTCTTGAGATGGAATTTGACAATTTTGTTTTATTAATTGCCATACCTTATCAGAACTGTAAAAGGAGGGCCGTTTGCTGGAGCAATGTTTTCACGAACATCAAAACCTTGCCTTTTAAGGAAATTGATGAGCTTATTTTCTTTTGTTTTGGACTCGTAGTGATAAACAAATGTATAGATGGGGAGTGTTGCTTCATCTGATAATCTAATGATTGGTAGAATAACTTCAGAGCCAAGGCCCCTGCGTCTCAATTCTGGTTTGACAACCAAACTTAGAAGAGTCCAATGTGGTTTATCGTTTTGGGGAAGAAGCTTACCATGTACCATTTCTAATGCTTTGGCAGCCTTGTTGACTCGATATAGACCTTTGAAACCACTAAATAGCAAACAACAACCATCATCATAATGATGAATCAAATATGAGCATTACATAAAAAAATACTTACAGAGCTTTGGGAGCCTTCCCAATACCCAGTCTTACTAATTTCCACAAATCTACTCCCTTTGAGTTGAATGGATGTTGCCATATGGAAATGGCTTGAATCTCCTTTGATTCATTATTGAGTGGATAGTGTGTACTGACATAAATCCTACCATATTTGATACCGTACTTGACGATCATGGTACAGAGGAACAGAAGAGCTTCATCCGATACATCTTCCATAATCCCAGTTTTGAAAATGTAACTCAAGAGTGGGTGCAATTCGTTAGTTTCCATCAGTGTGGATGTGGTAGAGGTTTCAGCAGTAATGCCACTGTCTCGTTTGCTTTGCTCGGACGTTTTGGATGTTTGGCCTGATTCATAATTGGAAGATGTAATTGGAGCTGTATTTTCAGCATCGTTAGTGGAGGAATACTTGTTAAAGTTTGGAGATTTGAAACAATTCATGAGGAAGGTAGCTGCTTCTTGGACTTGTGATGGATGTATTTCACTGACAACACTTTTACCTCTCTTATTCATGTCACGTCTCTTTTTAGGTTTTTGGATTTTGACATAGTTGAATGCTTGTTGTTTGAAAATATTCTTTTCTGTTTGTGTGGTTGGGAGTGATGTGGATAGGGGAGAAGAAACTTTCTCAGCACTGGTGGTCATTGATTCTAGAGATAGCTCACTACCAGGTCTGTGATTATTGTTGGCGCTCCCAGCTCGTTTTCTTGGAGTTGGTTTGGAATAGATTGAGGAAGAATTCTTTAAAATCTCCTCTCCTGCTTTGGTATTCATAAATTGGCTCCACCACTATGTAAAATTGAATGTAAATGTTGTATGCATTCAAGTTATTACCAATTTGGTAAAAAGTTAAAGGAAATATTGAATTGAATACATGCAAAAAAATATGAATTGATGAGGAGGTTAGGAATTGAAAAAAACTTACATGTTGTTCCCATAACCAATAATATTGTCTACATGATAGACCTACATGATACATGTCTTCAATTTGTAAAAAGGAAAATACTCTAATTTTTAAAACGTCAGATAATTGGTTAAAATCCTTAAATACCAATTTCAAATTTCCATGCTTGTCGCTCGATCTGATTTTTGTCAGGGATTTGAGAACCTTCTCTGCCGTTGGCCGTTCTCTTGGATCATAGCTCACTAAATTTTTGGCTAGGGCAAATAATTCCTGAGAGTAGCCCAATGTCTTGACACATTGATGTTCCAATTCAACGAGAAAGTTTGGATTCTTTCTCAGTTCCATAGGAATCATCATTTGCTTTCCAGTAATCATTTGAAGAAGAATTCTATCCAATGAAATGGTTGACCATAATAGTTAGAAAAATATATGAGCTTTTTAAAATCAACTTACACTCCAAATGAGTACATGTCAGTTGCTTGATCATAAGGTGCCATGTTAAGCATTTCATAGCTCATATATTGAATAGTACCACATTGAGTATTGGCCATAGATTGAGTTCCCAATTGTCTACTAATTCCAAAATCTCCAATTTTAAGTGTACCATCTTATAATATTTGTAAAATCAATTGAAAATGTTTGTGACCTACCTGCAGCAATTAAAATATTCTGAGGTTTCAAATCTCTGTGAATAATATTGTGCTCGTGTAAATATTGAAGACCTGCTGCTATTTGTTCTGCATAGCTGAGAATATCCTTCTCTGCTATTTTTCCCTTCTTGCATGTACTCGAAATGAATTGTTGTAAATCTCCTCCAGGGCAGTACTCTATACACAGACAAACAAAGTGAGTGTCTGTACTATACTTGTTCAAGAATACCTTGAGGTATTTCATAATATTCTTGTGATTTAAATCTCGCAACTTTTGAGCTTCGTTTAAATGAAGGTTAGCATCGTCGAAAGAAGCCCATTCCATACGCTTGATGGCAACTTCTTCATGAGTTTTCTTGTGTTCTGCTAACAATACTTGTCCTATTGATTGATTAGTGACATGAACATTTCACCAAGCCACTTACCTTCAGAACCTCTTCCCAAGATTTTAATGATACTGTTGTTTGAATATCCGCATCATTGATTAAATCCACAATCATCATGTCTTGTACTTACTAATATTGATCCATTATTCGTGAAGATTTTTAAAGGTATTTTACAATAATAATAATAAATTAAACTAGTAGTACAGGTGTTTGATAATGTCGTTATTCTACAATTTTACAAGTCGACTCTAAGATTTTAATAATAATAAATTAAATTAAATAATTGATGATGATAATTTTCCTCTTATCCGAATATGATCACAGAAGAATCAAAAGCACCAAAAAATCCAACACAGGTGCGCTATTAACTCCTATTATCGTTTTTGTTTTCCAATCAAACACAACAATTACAAGGAAAATCAAAATTCGTTGTCCACTATCCAATATTAAACAACAAAAAACCACAATAAATTTTAGTTCGTTTTTTTCAAAGATGAAAAATGAGAGAACAATGAACTTGGTTCAGCCAACTTCACAAACCTATTATGTTACCTATCAAACAAAGTTTCTTAAATATATTTACACATACTTTTAATTAAGGTTCTTCAGAGATTGGAATAATTTTTGATTCCTTTGGTGGTTTGGAAGGAACATCCTTCTTTGGAATATCAATATTGAGTTGACCATGAGCAATGGAAGCATTAATATTATCCCAATCAATTTCTGATGGATTATGCAAGACTACTTTCCTTTCAAATTCTGGAACTAAAACTCTTTCCTGTATGAGATACTTTCCAAAAACTTGTTCCTCCTCTTTCATTTGTTTTTCCTCTAAATCTACTAAATTTCCCTTAATACAAATTTCTCCTCTTTCTTCATCAGTGACCGTCACTGAAATATTATTCTTGTGAAAGCCTGGAACATCTGCATGAATGATGAATTTCTTCTCGTGTTCTCTGACATCGATTGGAGGCTCGAATACAAAGAAAGTCTTTGGATCGTGAGAGTGATGACGAAGAATTCGTTTCACCTCCGGATGAGCATAATCTAAATTACCCATGCCCATCATGGTTTCGAAATGAGGGGATCGGAAAAGTTGAGAGAAGGTTGTTGGTAGATTGAATTTGCTTCCTGTCAGCAGGGATTTCAAGTATCTTTCGAGCATTTTTTTTTGAAGTGTTAAATTTGGATGTGTTTAGCAAATGACCAAAAATGGGCTCAATTTTTAATATTGTAAAGTAGTATTTAATAGTATTAAAAAGATATCAATTTCAATAATGAGAATGAATAAATTTTGAATATTAATTTAACATTTTTTATGATGCTTGTCTTGTTTTTTAACCAAAACCAATTCAAAAGTATTAGAATTTGTTCGAAAGGATCCGAATACCTTCTTGAGTAAAAGTGGATCAAGACTACTAGCAATGGCAACTTTCTTTACATGTTTCAGGTGGGCAACAAACAAATCAATGAGTGTGGACAGAATTTCTGGAGCAATGAGTGCTGGTGTGAGTGTAATTTCCAAAATTTGAGTTTGGAATTGAGGCATGGCAATTAATGCACAAAATTCTTTCAGATTCTTCTCTGTAACTTTGCATCGAAAGACTTTGATAAGGCATTGATTAGTTCTATTTACAGTGGGAGTAGATTGTACAATTTCATTCATCATGCTTGTAGAGGATGTTGCTGAACCACAACAAACTGAACTTGTCGATTGACTCATAGAGAAAGCAGCAGAAGGACTGTCTGTACAAAAGTATTCTCCAATGATAATCTTATTGATGGTCATTTCATATTGGAGGAGTCTATTTACATCTACTGGAAGATTAGTGGTCAATCTCTCCAATTTCAAACCTCTCACATTAACCTTGTCCAGTACATTGGTCAGTGTAAATCTCTCATTCATCTCACGTTGCTTTCCATTCAATACTAATTCTCTCAGGAGCAGCGAGGATTCTTCAAGGGCATGACCAATAATCTTGCTACACTCGTCGACATTCTTATAATAGTGAACATTCATTCGCAAGGATTGAACATTTTCCCAGTTAATCCTTGGCATGTATTCAAGCATTGGTTCTCCTTCCAACTGTACACGAATCACCTTTTCAAATGGGAATTCACAACTCGTCTTTTTATATTCTGTCAAATTCCACCATTCCATCCTAAAGCACACTGGATGAAACTCTACACAAATTGCTCTCATGTATCGATTTACCATTGAAAGTCTCATCACCGTTGTATGATCAAGCCACGAGAAGATATTTTGATAGAGGAATTCGGCTTGAGAATTTTCCATCACCAACGACCATGAAATTCTCGAACTTCTGTCATTACATGTATTATCAACATGTCGTATTGTAGTTGTTGAAGTTGAATTATTATTATTGTTAATGTCGTTGTTATTATAGATTTGACTCTGAGTACCAAATCTCTTGAATAGACTCTTCTTTATCTTGTTCAACATTTGACCGATATTTCTTCTGCTTCTACTTCTTATTGCTTCTTCTTCTACTGTTTTAGGAGTTGTGTTATAATTGTTATTAATAGTGAAAGGTTGTTGTTGTTGTTGCTGTTGTTGTGTGATCATCATCATTGTGTTGGAGGCGAATTTTACTGTTTCTTGCTGAAGCAGCTGATGATGATGATGTGGCTTGATGGGAGGTTTTGGGTGGCTCAAACAGCAGCTTGTGTTGTTGCGGTTTTTTTTTTAAATTTGTTTGCGTTTTGTTCCTACAAGACTTATTTGGTAAAGCAATTGTTCTCTTCGTAAGGCAATCTACAAAATAGGAAATGAAAAATGATACAATCAAATGGTAGGGTATTAATTGGATGTTAAACGTGATTGCTGGTTGTGAATTCACTTTGTAAACCCCTTCGTAAGCTCCCCTATTAATAATAAACAACCAACAGTTGTTGACTTTAAAAATCTTCAACGAGTCAAAAACTTGGTTTTTTTTCTTCACGTTTTTCCCACAACCAACAAACAGTAAAATTTTGTTCACGTTCTCTGATGAACAAGAAAGCAAGAAAAAATTGTCGGTTGTGTGTGACAAATCACGTTCAAGGACTTACTACACGTGTTTGGGAGAGCTCATGGTGAATCAATGTTTTAGCGCGCACACATATAGAAAGTTAAGATTCGAATGGTTCAGAATTTGCAAGGTGAATCGAATAATTTCTTACAATAATTGAAACATGCAAGATGGCATCTATTAGAAATGAACTGTATTGGGCTGTGTATTGGATGACAACAAATTTCGAAAGGTTTTCACACCGCCGACACATAGTGGAAAGGTTCATTGAATATATGCTTTTTTTGATGTGATATCACATATCTTGAGTTTTTGGATTTCTAGAGATTCTTTTGTATTTTTACATCCATGTATGGTAAAGGATGAAACTTATGCGAATCTGAGGACAATTTTTCTTCATTACAATATTGCTATCACAAGTTGTATATTTTATACAATGCATGCTTTACAATTTGTTGTTGCCTTCTATTGATTATTGTTATTAATATGGATGTTGCGAGAGAATGAATGGAATTTTTGTCATTTTTGGTTATTATGCGGTTTTGGCGGGAAATGATTTAACCCTCAAATACAGTTGCTGAAATTGAGAAACACCTTAATGTTAGATAGTCACTTCTTTCAATCAATTGTAATCCAAACGAACTCGGTTGACTTGCTCAATAATCATGTAACTTTTTAAAAAAAATGATTGAAAGCCTTCTACTTCCTGCTCGCATCGGCGGCGGCTGCGAATTTCCTGATGATGTTTGCTATGAAATTTTGACTCATCTCGACTCGTTTTTTATTTTGAAAAATTGCGTATTGATTTCCAAACAATGGAAAAGAATTATCAAGCAAACAATTCGATTATCGCTTGATTTTAAAAGGGAATTTGATGGTGGACGGGCCGAATTGTTAAAACAGAGTCAATTTTTGGAGAGGATTACATGTGTAAATTTAAATAGTGGAAATGTGAATGTTTTGGAGGCAATGATTATGATGCCTAATTTAGTTAGAGTTTCGTTTAGTGGAATTAATGATATGGCACTCGTCCGAAGGATTGGCGATTTGCAACAATTAAAAGAGTTGGACATTGTAAATAGTCGTTTGGTGA